ATGGCAGAAGCTCCTCTAGGCTTGTGTTATTTGTGGAAATAAAACATCAACGTTGCAAGTCAGTGGTAGAGTCGCGTTGCTGTTATCCAATCCAGGGCAAGATGTCCACATATCAGGAAATAAGACTGAAGCTCAGCAGGAATGTGGCTCATTTTTAGTTCCTAGACATGCTGCACCTGCATATTCCCCCCCCCCCCCCCCCTGAGAATTACTTAAAAGGTATTCATTCCTACTAGAGACCACTGCAAATGTATTGATTAAATGGGTGATACCCACCTTTAAGTTTTTCTAATAAACTTTGAATACAAATTTATTCTGGCTATGAAATGGAATGTAACTTTGGATATTATTAAAAGAACATTGGAATATTTACTTAGTCATAAGATTGTTTCTTTTGTTTAGAAAAGTGACATCTGTAAATTTGTATTTTTTCTAAGTTGCACAGAATTTTTCATTCCACCATTTGAAAAAGAGCTTATTCAATGTATGGCTTCCATTAGAACCGAAACAACAAACGTCTTTATTTGGATTTTTTTCTGAAAGTTGTGGCTGGATCTTGTTACGAGTGCAATTCATGGTTCGGCAGGGATGAGAGGCACACATCTAGAAAAAAAAGTTGCTGCCTTTTAGTGGTTGAAGTGGGAATGTTTCCCCTCCCTCATCAGTTTGTTGGTTCTGCTGCGTCAGCAGACGGCACACAAAAACGAAATTCAGTAAAAGCTCTCTCTGCTCTCGGGGAGTTTTTTCTCCCCCAGCAGCAGCAGCAGCAGCAGCAGCTTGTTCTCGTCTCCCCCTTCCCCCTCATCAACTAACATGTTTGAAGAAACATATGCTTCCATTCCTGCTTCCTGACAGCTTGGGCTGCTTGAACAGGATCTCGCTTAGGGAAGAAACAGTTCTCTGGCAAGAGAGAAGAGATTTAAGCTGGAAGAAAAGCTAGTGAATTGTTTGCAAAGAGCAAAGCGTGAAACTAATTAGAATTTCACGATAGAATAGAATCGCCTTTTATTGTCATTGTACAAAGTACAACGAAATTGGAGTGCCACTCCCACTGGTGCAAAATACCAACAAAAAAAAGAATATAAATATAAAAATATATAAAAACACAGTCAAAGGGTGTACGAAAGAAGCCGAAAAATATAGTAACAATATATGGTGTATCATTTGTTATTGCACAAGATCAGTTTATATGTACACAGTTCCTCTCTAATTCTTTTTGTATTTTATTTACAATAGTGATTGTCCTGGGAAAGAAACTATCCCTGAATCTGTTTGTCCTAGTTTTGTGTTACCTGTGTCTTCGACTTGATGGTAGCAGTTAAAACAGATGGTTGCTGGGGTGGGAGTAGTCCTTGATGATGTTGCCAGCTCTACTGAGGTACCGAGAGTTTGCAATGTCCTCCAGACTCGGCAGAGAGCAGCCAATGGTCTTCTGGGCTGTATTTATGACCCTCTGCAGCACCTTCCTGTCTGCAACTGAGCACCTTGCATACCATGTTGTTATGCCGTACGCTAGGACGCTCTCTATGGTGGCTCTGTAAAATGTCACCAACAGCCTCTCCTCCAAGTTGTTCCTCCTGAGCACTCTCAGGAAGTGGAGATGCTGCTGGGCCTTTTTTACCACCACCGTGGTATTTGCAGTCCAGGAGAGGTCATCGGATATCTGCACTCCCAGAAACCTCATGGAGTGTACCCTCTCCACACAGTTCCCATGGATGTAGAGTGGGGCTGGGTCTGCTCTACCTTTCTTGAAGTCCAGTACAAGTTCTTTAGTTTTTGTGATGTTCAGTTGAAGGTTGTTTACTGAGCACCATTTAGTCAGTCTGTTGACCTCATCCCTGTAGTCCGACTCATCCCCCTTGAGATAAGTCCAACCACGGTGGTGTCATCCGCAAACTTTAAGATGGTGTTTGAGGGATGGGTCGGGGAGCAGTCAGATGTGTAGAGTGTAAACAATAGGGGACTTAGAACACATCCTTGTGGAGACCCGGTGCTGAGTGTGATGGTGTTGGGACAGGTGGGGGCCGAGTCTGACAGACTGTGGTCTGTTTGTCAGGAAGTCCTTAATCCAGAGGCAAATGGAGGTAGAAAGTTCCAATTTAATAAATGTGTTGAAGTTTGACACATAATGAGATTGTTATATCTCATATGCAATCTCTCATTTTTTATTTTAAAAAGTAAACCAAACTTATGATGGTAACATTTCAGATTTGTATATTTTCCTAAATGTACTTAAATACTTTATTTGTTCTGCCTCGATACCACCTGTCGAAACTCAACTGAGCTCACAACCCAATATGCAATCATCTACGTGGCAGTGTTTAGGCGGAAAAATAGATAAGAAGGCTAAAAAACATTTCAGTTTGCACAGCGGGACTGAATTGGAAACAAATATAGTAAAGACAAACGCATTGATCTGAAAAATGCAGCTGAAACAAGTGCAGATAATGCAACCTGTAATACCTCTGGACTGTTTGGTCAAATTAGAAAGATACTAGTTTATTGATCTCCAACCACTTATTCCCCAGAGGAGATGGAGGAAATTGGTCAACGGAAATCTCTTTCAGAAGATGATTTTCTTCTTTATTTGTGTTTGAGTGCTGTGTCTTAGTGTAAGCTTTTCTTTTACATTCAGCTGCAATTATTAAAATTATGTATCCATAATTATTCTGGGCCAGTCTAAAGCTTCTCATACCCCCCCCCCCCCAAAAAAAAGAAAAAAAACTCAGGGGTTTTCTCTCCACCCAAACTGAAGGCGCATGAAATGCAAAACCATTTTAGAGGTTTACCCTTCAGATTGCATTGTAATCTTCTTTGTCTTATATTTATCAATTATTTATGAAAGTGTTTGAGCATCTTGAAAATGTTCATTGAATACTCACTTCATTAAGCTTGAAGCTTATGTTGCCCATTAAAGGGGCATTATGGAAGTTTGACAGCCAAAACATGTATAGAAATAATAAATTTCTTCTTCATACATTCTCCTGCAATGCCCTGGTCCTGTAAAATGAGCCCTGGCATTTTTATTGTGATTGCCTATTTTTCTGTAAAATCGCAGAAAAAGAGAGCTGCTCGGGTCGAGCAGGCTGCTTCATGCGCGTTCATGCTCAGGCAGAGCCCTCCGAACTGTTCTTTGAACGTTGTTTCAGCTATCGTCAAGGATATGAATGATACAGATGGCGACTTAGCTCACCTAGGAAAGATTTGGGCTGTCGTGCAGATGACCCGGGTTCGATTCTCGACGTGAACGTGATTCTTTCAGAATTTTGTTTTTACAATAATGATATATTTTTTTACAGTAAGATGCCCAAATTTTTATTTGAGACTCGCCGAACGACGTTGAATTCACAGATAACAAAGATGTGGGTTCAACTTTCATTTTGGAACAATTTTTCAAGCAAGGGAATGGAATGATCTGAGCATGCAGGAGGACTGACGCATCTTAAACCTTTGCTGAAGAGAAAAGTACAGAACCAAACTATTTAATTAGTTAGCTGCGTGTTCTCCTGTCCTCTGTCCTCCGGGCCACACACACACACACACACACACACACACACACACACACACACACACACACACAAGGGACTGTCAGCTCTCAGAGCTGACACGCGCTCCTCGTGCACGAGCCTCCTATTGAAGCTGGCGTTACGCTTTTGGCCAGAGGGGGCAATCACAAGCATAGAAATTCAAAACTCCCTAAAGTCCCTTTAAAATGTTTGTTTCTGTCTGTCTTTCTGGACTTTCTTTCAAAGTTTGACTCAAGTATAAAAAACTGAGGTAATGCGCCTCGCTGATCCTCACCTGCCACTTTGTGTTTTAGCCTTTTTGTTTCTGTTTGTTTGTTGGTTTACAAAATCTTATAAATCACTAGATGAATTTTAATGAAAATCTAAGAGTGTATTTACAGTTGATTCAGTTTTGACAACTTTCCATTTAAATATGGCTTCTGCTAGCCTGGCAAGCCAGACTAAATAAATGTATTATTTGTAATGTATTATTTCAAACTTTGCAAAGCAAGAATTTGGTCTAGTTCACTAGGCTAGGCTTCTGTAGCTTTAGCAAACACAAAAAGGACTATGCCTTAGCCAGGTTTACAGATGTTGAGCTTGAATCTGGTGCAGTAGTAGCTGAAAGTCTTTCACATACTCAGAATTCTCACACGAGATCTGGCAATATCACAAGAAAATTGTGTTATTTTTACATACATTTAAAATAATTTCTCACCATAAGATAAGTATAGTTAAAGTTGACCTGGTTTAAAACTCTTCGTGTCAGAGGAAAGGAACAATATGCATTCAGTCAAGGGCTGCTAGGTCTTTAGTTTTTAAATAGGTTTCCTTGGTAAAGTATTGATTCACAACTGGCAGTAGACAAATACATCGGTAGGCCGATATAACAGGCCAATATTTACCTTTTTTAAGTCGTGTCAACCAATATACCTCTGAAGCTGAGCCAATTTGAAGTCGAGCTGTTTTGAAGGTTATTCATTTGATTTGTTTTTTCACTTTAGTTAAATATTAGATTTTATAACTGTTCAGTGGGCAAAATTGAGATTCAGCAATTGGTTAAATTCAGTGTTCACAAACTGATTCAATTCAGAAATGTAATGTGTCCACTGTAGTTAATAATTAACATTAAAATAAAACATTTTAGCATGAAGACAAGGTGGAAACCATCTCAATATCAGCATCGGCAGTAGAAAAACATACATGTTGTTTTAACTGTTTATTCCATCTAATCCTATGATGTATATTCTGTTCTTTACATTTTTGTAAGTTTGAATTAGTCTGTGTAGCTTTGCATAGTGAGTGTGTTTAGAAATCCAAAAGTCAAATCAAGTCAGCAATATTCTTGGCAACGTCCAAGCTTGTTTGGCTACTCCAGCTCCATGATGTACTCGGAACTAACAGTGTGTACTGAGTTGTTTTCTGGAAGAAGATCTCTGTTGTTCTATTGTGGTAATGATGATTGGGTTTTGTTTGCCTGTTTGTGAATTTCAGGTCTCTCCCTAGTTTGCTCCAGGCTTCAGCTTGGAGAACCCAACCGCCAAGATTGATCCCAGCAGCTGGAGTGGCAGCGAGAGCCCTGCCGAGGACATGGAGAGGATGAGCGACACGGCAGACAAGCCCGTGGACAACGACGCCGAAGGGGTTTGGAGTCCTGATATAGAGCAGAGTTTCCAAGAGGCCCTGGCCATCTACCCTCCCTGTGGGCGCAGGAAGATCATCCTATCAGATGAAGGGAAGATGTATGGTGAGTACATTTTGAAGTGTGCACTTGTTGGAACACTAGAGCCAGAGACAAGTCTGGTTGGCCTTGCTCATCTTGATAAAGGGTTTCTGCACCACTACAACTTTTTTTTAAATCTTTATTTTACAGTAAATGCAAAAATGGTTTAAATAGAATCTAAAAGTAATGACAAGTCTTTAATCTCTGCAAATGACAAAGAAATCATCGAAAGCTTTGAGTGATAGAAACCAGTTTGTGTGCATTTCCTGCCAACGGACAAGTAATTAGTCATAATGATGAGTAAATTTGCATTTTCACCCTAAATTTGAGCTGTTCTTTTAAAGTATAAATCTTAGCTGAGCTGGTTCATTTTAATATTTTGACCTCAATGGTGACCATGCAGTCCCCACACTGGTTCACAGCAGAGCAAGTTTTATAAGTAAAGCAACATGAACTATTAGTCAGTGGCAGATGGTGCTGCGCCTGCCACCAGCTGTACCCCCTGTTCCTCTCTTCACCCCCGCCTCCCAATTCCTGGCTGGGTGATGTCATGGAAAAAGGGAGGCTTTTCTGTCTGCTGTGTTGAACTGTCCCACAAGCTGTCACTGTGAAGTGAAAGCAGAAAGTCCCACAGTGCATTAGTGTGCAGCTGTCATGTGACCCCTCCGGCCAAACGAAATGTAAATTTCAGAAGTTGCATTGAAATCCATCACCAGCTACTAAAAATCCCTCCCTACTGCTTCTTTTCTAGTTTCTACTGCCCCTGCAGAGTCTGACTGCCTGAAAAGGTGCCCCTCTGTGGGTTAAATCAAATTCTGACAGGTTTGGTTTTAGTGTGTTATGTGCAGCCACGTGGCAAAGACAACACATCACGTACGATCTGATTTCACCCTTGAACATTCTCTGGTCAGACAGGAAATCTTGCAAAACCTTGTTAGATCAAACATGACTTCGGAGTTTACAAACATGGCTTAAAATGATTTGAAATCCCTTTGTGCATCAGGTTTCAGTTACCTCATTTTCAGATTGCTTACAAGTAACATTCAAAGGGCTGCATGCTCATTTGTCCTCAGAGCACATGACACACACTGCAACACTGAGCAAAAACAACCCAGCATGTTAAATATCCCCGATTTTTGACCGGAGCAGTCTTGATGTCCCTCTGAGCTGACCAGAGCACTCAACACACCACACATGGCCAGAGTGTCTGGTAAGATTATCTTTAGAGCCATTACGTTAATCAGGGCATCCTTAAGATTGTCTAAAAGGAAGAATCGGGGTAAAAATAATTATATTTTCACGCCTTACAAATATAGAAAAGTAGATAAAAGCAGCATGGCATCTCTAAAAATTAATTTGTTTGAAAAACTAAACCTAAAAATTAGTAACATGATTTTTTTTATTATGAAATCATGTGAAACAAACTTACTCACACATGTTCAAAGATATTTACTAATTAAAAACCATCTAAGTTCTTTGTCTATGGGAACATCATAGCTTCACACCCCCGTAAAATACATAACGGCATTGTTATTGCGGTTTGTGCTGAAGAGACATCTGGATGACTATAGATGTTTATTCTTCCAGATGTGTATCTGGTTACAGAAGTCTCGCCAGTAGCACAGGCTGTATTCCACTTTTTTATATTATAACTACAGGAGACTCCAATAAAAGATTTGTGGACCAGTGTGTTCCGGTATAGATCTGCAATTTTCAGGTGAGAATTTCTATCGCATTTTGGGCCCTATTTAAACAAACCGTCATGCACAAATTTATAAATAGGTTGTGCAACTATTCAGTATTTTTGTGCTGCAATAAATGTCTGCAGTGCTGAAGACAAAAACTAAATGCTTCCCACAGGCTCCACAATTGACTCCAAAGCACGGTCCCTGAGTCCAGAGATCTGCCTCACTGCCTCGGTGTGTGGCTACAAATAGCATCCATCACATCGTAGAGGCTCTGTGTATTTCTCCCATTTTTTATTAAAAAAAAAAAAATATATATATATATATATATATATATATATATATATATATATCCACTCCGGCTGTTTCTGTCCTTAACCTTTCTATGCTGGGCTTTAATTTCTCCAGCTTGGCCCAACACCGTTCCGACGTCCGCTGGAATCCTATGGCTGCTGTCTGCTGAGAAAAAAAACTTCCTCATTGATCCCTCTAGCTCTTCCTGAGTGTGGACTCTCACAATGATGGGGAAAAATGTATGGAGCTCTGAAGATGACCAAAACTTGATGTATTTCTGTCAATCGGTCAGTGGACTCTTTTGTTGCTCCGTCCTAACCATACCACTCCAGAAATTTCTGGACCTATAACAGAAGGAGACCAAAAAGTTTTGTGACTGGTGCGGTCCGGGTAATTCGTCTGGACCGATTTTACAATTGGAACAGAAATTTTTGCGATCCGATCCTTCCCATCCCATGGCAAAATGGTCGATGGAAAAGAGCTATAACAGTACCAAGCAAAATACTTCAAACCCAGGATTATTTTTGATACATTGGGAATAAAAACAGTGAATAAAGACATTTAGGTAGGTCTAATTAGAAAATAAAAACAATAACACCTTCTGAGCACCAAGGTCAAATCAATAAAAAAACAAATATTAATAGGTTTTAAAATTAATAATTAAAATTGACCCCAATTAAGCGGACAAAAATTAAAACTGAAGTTTTAGGTTTTTGTTTCCTAAATTGGAAGAAAGAAACATTTTTAGTATTTAGGATGTTTGAACATTTTTAGTATTTAGGATGTTTGTGTCTGTGTTGTTTTGGCAAGAACCATCCTGAGGCTAATTTGTAGGTAAGGTCACTGCTTCATTAGAACAAATATGCAAAGAGACTGAGCTAGCAAAATCAGTCCTAATTTGTAAGTAAGTTGTTATCTGTCAAATATATCTTAACTTAACTAATCATTCATCTAATAATAAATTGTCTTTAGTTAAAACCTTTTTCTGACCAATCAGGAGCTTTGGCAGTATTACTTTGTCTGAATCTCCAAAGCCAAAGGTTTGTTTGAACTTCATTATGCCCGTTAATCTGCTTAATATGAAAAATGCTTCTAAGATCTGCATTCCAAGAGATCACTAGAATGAAACTGTAACATTTAAATGCCAATAAATGAAATGAATGAAGGGTTGCTGTGTAGAATGACTCAGAGATGATTCTGCTCAGTTTTATTATAGGTGTACTATTCTTTAGATGGTACATTAATATTGAGCAAAAACTTTATAGTTTTACAGATGTAGACATACCCCAAACAAAACATCTCATGGCATCTGAGGTTTATGCTGGCAACAAGGAGACAGGTATTTTGTAGCTGTCTCTGGGGATGGCATAGTGTTCCATACACAGAGCTCATCACAAGAGGAGCTGCCCTGAGTGCCCTTAAGCCCTTTGTTATCCTGGGGTAGAGTGCAGTTAATTAGCAACAGTCACTATAGCAACTGCGTTGCAGTACAAAACAATTTCTAATTTCTGCTTCTTAGTCTATTGTGGTGTTTACCTGAAGGGTTTCGAATGTGGTGAGACCAGTGTTGGCTGGCATTGTCTGAAGCTAATTGCGGCTGCAATTGAAGATGCTTCATCTGCATAGGCTGCGGCACAACCACAGTTTACTCTTACGAGAATATTTTTCAAAAAAGTATAGCGACATGGAGGGCACTGGCCTCCAGCCAGAGGATCAAGACTCCACACTTGCATAATTTACCTGCTGTGCGAGGCTGCATTCATTTATCCTAGAAATGGAGTTGATAAGTGAAACAACACGCTTCCTTCAAATTGTATGTTTATTCATTGAGTTATGTATTTGCACCACCCAGCAAGCTAAATCTCATTGTCAAATTTCTCTCGGTTACTGCAAAGCAAAAATAAACAGAAAATGAGTCCATCTCTGACCTATATGTACGCTAATACCATAGGATATTTATTAAAATTAGTTTGTTTTCTCAGTACTTTATTCATATGCGAATTTGTTGCAGACTTGATAAATATAATACATTTATCTGGTGCTAGCCACGGGGTCTTAAAGTATTAAGAAAGCATTACATTCAGTAAAAAATGTCGGTAATAAAATATTAATGTAATTTCAAACAAACAACAAGATTACCCAGTAGCATTTATACCAATATAAAAGCACATCTAGGGGTCTTCTAGAGTTAGAAGTTGTTGCTACTGTTAGCCTTTCTGCTTGTCCCGTCTAAGCAATCATTCCACGCATTCTCACATGTCCCATTGTTTTGTAGATGAATAAAAATGTATGGGTTAATGTTCTGCCTTCAACTTTGAATTTGGATTTGTGCTTTTAATTTTTGGGGGAGCGTTTCTTCTCGTGTCAGCATTTCACCTCTTCACTGCACCGGGATGTGTTACAGGTAGCAGGTATGGGGGCCCGCAGAGGCCAAAATTCCTCTGAAATGTATCTTTCCCTACTGGCTGATATGAGTGAATACTGAGATTCTAGCATTGTTTGCCTTCATACATAGCTTTAGTAACTCCATGCTACATGACCCACATGAACATAATCCTCTTTGTAGTGGATGCAAGTACATGATGAAATGAACTTAACACATAGTATTTATTTCTGGGAAGGAATAATTACTGGTAATACTTTGAATGACATCGTATAGCCCACCCAAGATGGAGTTTAAATTATTTCATGTGAATTATAAATAAAGGTTCATGTGATACACATAGCTATAACTCATAACTGCGATAGATAGATGGATGGATGGATGGATGGATGGATGGATGGATGGATGGATGGATACTTAGATAGATAGATAGATAGATAGATAGATAGATAGATAGATAGATAGATAGATGATAGATAGATAGATAGATAGATAGATAGATAGATAGATAGATAGATAGATGATAGATAGATAGATAGATGATAGATAGATAGATGATAGATAGATAGATAGATAGATAGATAGATGATAGATAGATAGATAGATAGATAGATAGATAGATAGATAGATAGATAGATAGATAATAGATAGATAGATAGATA